TTCATTTTTATTTTTTTTTTTTTGCAGTACCAGGTATCAAACTCAGGACCTTATACTTGCCAGGCAGGTAAGTATATGCTGCTGAGTTATCTCCCTGGTCTGAACCTTTTTTTTTTTTTTTTTTCAGGTACGGGAGATTGAACTCAAGACCTTGCATTTGCCAGGCCAACACTTATTCTACTGAGCTATCTCCCCGGCCATACTATGGGTTCTTTACATAAAACATTTGATTTAATTCTTACAGAAATCCAGTACATGGTCATTAGTAAAATACTGAAAAAAGTCAGGCTTACAGAGGTTAAGAGTTACCCAACATCACTTAGCTAATTAATGCCAAAACCTGGAGATAACCTCAACCATCTCACTTCACTGTGACTGTGAACGGTGACATTCATAGTCTAATGTGCTCGCAGCATCTTCAGAGCATAACACCCTCAACACTGTATTGCAGCTATTTGTTCACTTCTTCCTCTAAGCTCCTGAGGTACTCTTTATTTTCATTTATTTTTTAAAAAAACAATTATTTATTTATTTAGTGTGTGTGTGTGTGTGTGTGTGGCCAGCTCAGCCCACCAGGGGGCGGGGCTGGCTGGCATGTGGTGCTGGGGGATTGAACCGTGGTCCTTGTGCTCTGCCAAGCTTGTTCCAAGTAGGTGCTTTAGACCACTGAGCCATCTCGCCAGCCCCCTGAGGTACTCTTTAGAAAGAGGCATTTGTTCATTCTTTCATTCAACAAATATACGAATGACTAGCGAGACTCTGTGCCAGGGATACAGTAATAAGAGAGAAGTAATTGGTCCCTGCCATTAAGAAGCTTACATTCTAGTGGCTGATACAGAAACAAAAAAAAAGTTAATAAATAATATTGCTACATGTTTTGGGTGTACTAATGAAAGCGACTAATGGTGTGGCTAAAAGCATTAAGGTAGAATGCAGTTCCAAATCGGGGTAAGGGCAGAAGGAAACTGTACTTTGCTGGGGGCAGGGTAGTGGGACAGCAATTCTGCTATATTTCCCAGGGCAGAACTCACATTTACCTCATCCTCTCAAGTGCTGGAATTACAGGCATTCACCACTGTGCCAGGCTGAATATATTTAAATACATAAAAGGAGCCTAGCCTGGTGACACACCCTAATAATCTCAGCATTCAGGAGGCTAAGACAGGAGGAATTGCCTCAAGTTTTAGGCAAGCTTGGACTATTCAGTGAGTTTAAGGCCAACCTGAGCTATATAATGAGATCCTACCTCAAAAAAACAAAACATAGGGCTGGGGAGATAGCTCAGATGTGTAAGTGCCTGCCTGGCAAGTGGAAGGACCTGGGTTTGATCCCCAGTAATGCATGCCATGCTGCCCTGCCCTGGGACCGCTGAGCCAGCCACTGAAACTGGATGTGGTGGTGCATGCCTGTAATCCCAGCGCTGGGGAGGCTGCAACAGGAGGATCAGTTGGAGCTGGGTATCAAGACCCTGTACCAAATATATAAATTTGGAAAAAAAAAAAAAAAACATAAAGGGAACTGACCTGTAAAATGGTAGGGCAAGAGCATTCTTCCAGGTTTCTGGTTTGTGATCATCATCTTAACTGATTTTTTCCCCTTTTTAAAAATATTTTTGAAATAATATTTCACTATGTAATTCAGACTGGCTTGCAGCCATCCTCATGCCTCAGCTTTCCAAGTACTGGGATTATGGGCATGCGCACCACACCCAGCTCCCTTGGTTTTTGGAGACTGAGTCTCACTGTGTAGTTCAGGTTGGCTTAGTGCTCACTTTTCACCTAGGCTACTGTCAGACTACCAAGGATCCTCCTGCATCAGCCTCCAGAGAACCAGAATTACAGGTATGTTTTACCACACCCTGCTTGTTTTGAAACAGGGTCTTACTGTATTGTTCAGGCTAGCCTTGAATTATGTAGCCCAGGTTGGCCTCAACTCACAGTTTTTATGCTCCAGCCTCCCAAATGCTGGGATCAAAGATGTGTGCTACTACCCTGTCTAAAATTTAACAATTAGGGCCGGGGAGATAGCTCAGAGGCATAAGTGCCTGTCTGACGAGCACAAGGTCCTGAGTTTGATCCCCTGTGCCAAAAAAATAAATAAATAAAATAAAATTTAACAATTAAATTTGCTAATCAGCCCTTGTCTGGCTGAGACAGGAGGATCGATGAGTTCAAGGCCAGCCCCGGCTACATAAGAATTCCACAATAGTCCAAGTTACGTAGCGAGACCATGTCTTAAAAAAAACAAAAACAAAAAAACCCCAAAAATTAATAATAAGTCAAAGACAATGAAAAACATTTACAATATCTTGGCACAGGATATTACTTGGAACTAAATCTTTCTTTGGTATTGGGAATCGAACTCAGGACCCTGCGCTTGTGCCGCTGAGCTACATCCCTGACGGTAAATCTGCCTTTAAAGAAAGAAAAGTGAATAAATGCAAGATAACTTATACAGTAGGAATGATAAGCCCTGTAAATATGCCAGGTGCGGCAGAGGAAGAAAAGAGGAGGAATCACTGGCATAAATAAACATGAGCCGGACCTTCGAGCTTGGCCTTCACGCAGAGGAAATGAGGAAAAAGAAGGGTTAGCCTAGCTACCAGCAGGCTTCCGGTCTATTGTCGCAAAGAGGCCGTAAAAACAGAGACTCTCGCTTAGCCCCTCCCACAAAGGGCGGTCCTTAGAGAAAGCTGACCAATGGTGCGCTCCAGAGCAAACTAACCCAATGGCTCTGGAGTGGGTGGAATTCGCAATTCGGCTCTCGAGGGCTGAGGCTTGGAGTTCCGGCTTTCTGCGCACGTGGTGTACTACGCATTGTGGGCTTGAAGCTGCAGTGCGGGAGACTGATCTGTTCTGGAGTGATGGGGCCAGCCCCAGCCAGAGAACACTTGCGCGGAGCGTCTGGGGAGGCAGAGGTAGGTTGAGCCAGTTAGGAGGAAGAGAGCCTTAACGTGAGCTCCCTCGGCCGCGATCCGGAGTTGGCAGGCCTGGCCTGACAGCTATCTGGGAGGGGAAAGCAGTTTACACTGGAGAAGTCTGGTTCCCACAGTTCTTCCAGCCGAGCATACCGAAACAGTATGGGGTTCATAGCGGCGGTCGGCCTGACAGTATATGCTTAGAGCGAGAGAAGAGAAGGCATATGTGTGCTTCTCTATGTTTATTAATTTCTCAGGGTCCCCAAAACATAGGCTGGCTTTGAACTTGCTGTGTAATGTGTATCTAAGATTTGTGTATATTTAAGCAGAAGAGAAAACTTAGGGATTCAGGGAACGTGAAGATAAAGGGTCTTTGGGCGTTGGTTAGGGCTAGCTCTTCGAACTCCAAGCAAAGCTCCAGGCTTGTGCTATCAGGACCCCGGGAATCCTCAGTTCAAGGCATTTGCGGTGTAGCACTCAGTAATGTTCCCACAAGTTATGGTTATTCTGAATTTTACCGAACATGACTCCCATTCACAGGAGGGACAAGAACAGGTGATGCCTTAACCCACAACCATTTATAGTGGTACTTCAGGCAGCAAATGCTAGGACACCTGTGACTTTACATTGGTTTCTCCTCTTCTGGCCACAGGTGTTGGAACCAGTCCTGGAAGGCACAGTCCGGAAGAAGAACAAGATGTCTTCAAGAAAGCGTCCAGTGGCTGGATCCCAAGCAGAGAGCCTCCTGCAGCCTGTGAAGCTCAGCCGGGAAGAACTGTACAAGGAGCCTACCAATGAAGAGCTGAATCGCCTTCGGGAAACTGAGATCCTATTCCACTCCAGCTTGCTTCGTTTACAGGTGCTGTTGGGTAGCTGGACTTGGGTTAGAAGGATTTCGCTGAGACCCTGAGGCCAATGGATTCTCTCTTTTGCCCTTTACAGGTAGAGGAACTACTGAAGGAAATAAGACTTTCAGAGAAGAAGAAGGACCGAATTGATGTCTTTCTGCGAGAAGTCAACCAGCGTATCAAAAAGGTTCCCTCAACACCTGAGACAGAGGTAAAGGCAGGTGGCCTGGGAAAATGGAAAATCTGGGGCCTTCAGTGGGTACTTACTATTTATTGCCTTGAGGGGTTGGGATCCTAGGGAACTCATTCTCATTGTAAGGAAGCTCAGATATAGAAAGATTTGAGCTTGGCTAGCCATGTAGATAAGTAATTTTATTATTTATTAAATTTTTTTGGTAATAAAATTTTTGAGGGGGGCTGGTGAGATGGCTCAGTGGTCTAAAGCACCTACTTAGAACAAGCTTAGCAAAGCACAGGGGCCACGGTTCAATCCCCCCGCACCACATGCCAGCCAGCCCCGCCCCCTGGTGGGCTGAGCTGGCCACACACACACACAAATAAATAAAATAAAATAATTTTTTTTAATCATTTAATTTGGTACAGGGTTTCCATACGAAGCTCAAACTCATAGTGATGCTCCTGTCTCAGCCTCCCCAATGCTGGGATTATAGGCATGTGCCGCCACACCCAGTTTTCGTGGCTGGCTCGGCATGGGGCCAGCATGGCATGCAGTACCAGGGGTCAAAGTAGGGTCCTTATGCTTGCCAGGCAGGCATTTAGACCACAGAGCTATCTCCCTGGCCCTAGCCATATAGATATTTGTGCTTCTTTATGTTTGTTTATTCATTTGTCAGGGTCCCCAAAACACTTACAGGATGGCTTTGAACTCACTGTGTAGAGGAGGACCTCAAATTCATGACAGTCCTCTTGTTTCAGCCTCCTGAGTGCATTCAACACCATAACTGGCTAAAAAACTTTTTTTTTTTTTGCGGAACTGGAGATTGAACTCAGGCCCTTGTGCTTGCCAGGGAAGTACTTATTCTACTGAGCCATCTCTTCGGCCCCTAAGAAGCATTTTGAGACATAGTCTTGATAAGTTGTCCAGGTTAGGCTCAAACTTGTTAACCTCCTGCCTCAGTCTTCCAGAGTGTGCTCGCTCTTTTAGCTTTTTTTTTTTTTTTTTCTTTTAATGTATTTGGTATAGGGTCTCACTATGCAGCTCAGACTCATAGTGATCCTGTTGTTTTTGGCCTCTCCCTGGCGCTGGTATTACAGGTGTGTGCCCACCATGCCAGGACTCAGGTGGCAGCTCAGCATGCCCAGGGGCAGGGCCAGCATGGCATGTGGTGCCAGGAATCAAACCTGGGTCCCTGAACTTGTCTAAGCAGGTGTTTAGTCCACTGACCTGTCTAACCAGTCCTCATTTAGCTTTCTTGCAGAATTAGTGACTTGTACAACTCCAGCAGGCTTCTTGGTGGTGGTGGTAGCGGCGGCGGCGGTGGCGGCGGCTGCTGCTGCTGCTGCTCCTTCTTCTCTTTCTCCTCCTCCTCCTCTTTTTTCTTTTTGCGGCACCAGGGATCGACCTCAGAATCTTGCATTTGCCAGGCAGGCGCTTATGCCGCAGAGCTATATCACCAGCTCACCAGCAGGCTTTTTGTTCATTAAGCTGATAAAAACCATAGACCGTGTCTGTCTTGTGAATAGTAAAATACCTCAGGAAGATAAATTCTCAACACACATGAACTTTCCACAAGCTGCATGGGATAAGCAGTGCTAGTAAACCTCAAGAACTTTGCCTTGCATGGTGGCACACTGCAAGGAAGCTGCCGCAGGAAGACCTCAAATTTGAGGCCAGGCTGAGCTACACAGGCTGGCTGAGTTCAAGTGCAACCTAAACTACACAGCAAGACCCTACCTTATGAACACACACACACACACACACACACACACACACACACAAACTGTGTGACACTCCAAAACAAGGGCACACCCAGGACAATGAGGATGCCATGGAGAGCCAGGCATGGTGGCATAGCACGCTGAGGCAGGACATTATGAGCTCAAGGCTATGTGTCAGGGTAATCACCTGAGAGTTGAAGCCTGCTTTTTTTGTCACCAGCAAAACTGCCACAACAAATATCTTGACAGAAATGTTGTGTATTTTTGGTGCTGTGAGATGAACTCAATCTGATGCATGCCAAATGTGTTTTTGACATATTTTTGACCTTGACATCTATACTGTCCCCATGAACAGCTTCATTCAAACTTCAAAGTACATTTCAACAGACTTCCACTTGTGATGTTGTCACAACCATGCCAGATTTGCAAACTCATATCTCCTCTTGATCCACAGGAACAATTTCAATATCACCAATTATAGATATTCTAGAGAGGTAGATACAAAAGTTTTTGATGAGTTGGTGGTGATAATCCAGTGCTATCTCTTCTGGTTATAGTGCTGCTCAGAAGAATCCATTTTGTTAACACCAAATTTAGGTTTTT